CACAGTGACAGTCCGACTGTCATGATTGATGCGAGTCACGGTCGCTGGATTGAAATTGAATATCTGACGTTCGGCCGCTAGTTTTTGTAGAAGCGACAGAGCAGGTACAAGTTCTTTCTTGTTAAATATAACATTGTTGTGCGGCAAGCTACAGCAGTACCAGTATGGTCCCCGCAGCCGACGCCGGCGCTGGACCACGATCATCCCACCTGGAAGCAGGTCTACTTGATACTTCGAGGGCCGGCGCCGGTGGAGATTATGTTGAACACCAACACGTTGAGAGTAGTTCTTCATCAACAGCGGTCATTTCCTCGCCTGCGTTGTTGAAGAGTCGTGCTGGTGGTGTAGGAACTGGTGTTAATACAACGACTAGCTCCACCTTCCCCTCGCGAAGCCCCTGCGACCGCTGCAGTACAACCTCTTCTTCGTCATCCTCTTCAACACCTTCTTCAAGCAGAAGAAATACAACTACAACTATGTCGATGAAGAGAAGAATTACTACGACGAAAGAACCCCGCACTGCGACACGGATGGGCGGAAGTACGCCGGAATGCTGGACACGAACGGCGAGCCGGCGACGGGCTACAATTTTGGCGTGATTACGTACCCGGGTGATGGGCGAGTGTTCACCGGGAAGGTGGACAAGGACGGCAGGCCGGCGGCTGGCCCAGGCAAGATGACCTGGCCCGAAAACAAGGATGCGCACGGGAGGAAAGAGTACAAGGGAAATTTCAGCGACGGCGAAATTGCCGGCGACGGCAAGATGGTGTGGTGGGATGGGTTGGAGTTTGACGGGAACTTCGAGGACGGCAAGCCGCACGGCAAGGGGACGATGAGCATGCGGGATCCGAAAAATGGGGAGCGGAAGCAGCAGGGGAACGACTGGAAGTATGAAACGACAGGCAGTTACGTAGGCCACCAGAATGGAGAAAAGAAGTATGGCCCCGGCTTACACAAGGGGAACGGTGGCAGTGTCACAAAGTTGTCGTACCCCGGCTTACACAAGTGGTCGTACCAGGGACAGTTCTGGGACGACAAGGCGGACGGCGAGGGCGAGTGCCGCTGGGCGAATGACCAGGGCCAGTTGATCGCCTCGTACAAGGGACAGTGGAAGGACGGCAAGTTTGACGGCCAGGGCAAGCACGAACTTTTGGATGGCACCAAGTACGAGGGGCAGTGGAAGGACGACAAGTATCACGGCCTGGGCGAACTCATATGGCCCCCCCACAACGCGGAAAACTTAGACAAGTATAATGGACAGTGGGCGAATGGCGACATCAGCGGCATGGCGGGCACGCTCACGTGTAGGGATACGACCGAGCACACGGGAGAATGGCGTTACACACGAAGCGTGGCAAGTTTTGGCAAGTTCCGTTTGGGATTGCATGATGGCACTCGTTTCGTTGGATACCTCGACTCGCTCTGCAAGAAGCCCGCTTCTTCGCAGTGAGTCTTGCGCAGCAAGACTGTCCTCAAACTCGAAGGCAAGCAGATGATCCGACGAGAAGGCCAGTGCGCCAGCACTTGATGCGCGTTGCCGATGAACAGCGGGGACCGACGCCGCCTCAGCCTGTTCAGTCATCTCAGAGTGGTGTCCACCTGTTTCTCTTGCGAAGAAAAATAGAAAAAGGTTGTTTGGATCAACAGCAGCGTCACAAACCCATGCTGTATAAAAAAGGTTCTTACATAGGAAAGCTGTAGGCATTCGCAGCTAGTAGTAGTACCAGAAAGCATATGCGGAGAGATTGTTCTCATTATAATCAAGATCTGCTTTTCCATTTTTTTTTTCTACATCAAAATCAATGTTTAAGATTTTACTTTTTTTTTTCCCTGTTTTTTTGAGCTTCGACACCAACAAGAAAACGCGCGTTTTTTAGCCAGCAAGGTCTGGTGGCAAACTGTTGAAAAACACATTTCCAGCCACTTGCCCGCAGGAACTCAATTAGCACGCACAACAGTCACTCGCTCGTCTAAAGAAGCGGGCACACGAGAATTGCTTTTCTTTTTTGGGTATTGTAGTGCTACATCAACACTTACACTTCGGCAGAATTATCGTCAGTGCAGCATGGACTTCCTTGGAAGAAGAAGCTAAGACGACGACGAGGACGTGTTCTTTCCTTTGCCAACAGTTGTGCGAGAGAAGTGTTCTTTCCTTTGCACGCACGTACAGCAGAACGGCAACGAAACTGGATGTCTGCGTCTTATATAAGTATGTCATAAGATGCAGACTGAGTAAATCTTGTTTTATGAAGAATACACAAGACGGAAAAATAAAATCAAACTCCATCTCGTCAGGTTCCATCAACACGATGGGGCCCAAGTACTAATTCTAATCGTTTATTCGATATCTTCGTGTTGTGGGGTCCAACTTATCGTGTGTGTCGTAGCTGCTTCTACTGAAATAGCAGTAGGTTGCAGCTGAGAGAGCAGCAGCAACATGATGTAGTCCCAGTACATTCATCCCATTTCGAGTTGCACCAGGGGACCGACCAGGTAGATCTTCGTGTCGTCGTGAGAGAAACGGAAAAACGCTCGTCTCGGGTCTCCTGTAGACGAGCGCAGTTGTCTCGTTATTGCAGTATTCGGGCTTAGACAGAAACCTTCCAATTCTAATCTGTGATGCAGGAAGTGCATGATCTACCGTATCCGTAGTCCCATACGTTTGCGCATGACAAGATTCGGCACCCAAAACCTCATTGATATCCGGCGAAATTTGTATTGTATTGCGAAAAGCGCAACTCTACGTACGTTCCTCATGCTCTTCATGCAAGGGACCGACTCAGTAGATCTTCGTGTCGTCGTGAGAGAATAAACCAACGGAAAAACAAGAACGGTCGTCTCGTCGGGTCCCTTCTAGAGCGCAGTCTCGTTTTATTCAAGTACAACAGGGTCGATTTTTCGTTTACCTAA